GCAGCCCCTCCCCCTTACCTGCAGCCCCTCCCCCCTTAGCGGCAGCCCCTCCCCCTTAGCGGTAGCCCCTCCTCCCTTAGCGGCAGCCCCTCCCCCTTAGCGGCAGCTCCTCCCCCCTTAGCGGCAGCCCCTCCCCCCTTAGCGGCAGCCCCTCCCCCTTACCTGCAGCCCCTCCTCCTTAGCGGCAGCCCCTCCCCCTTAGCGGCAGCCCCTCCCCCTTAGCGGCAGCTCCTCCCCCTTAGCGGCAGCCCCTCCCCCTTGACCTCCCTGCCCCCACAACCTAGCCCTTCCATTCCAGTAAACAAACTCCTCTGAAACAGTCTCCTGCTCCCCAGCTCCTGGGGTCCTCTGCATCCAGGGACTTCTAGTGCACAACTGCTGATCCAGTTCGAGACCCACACCAAGTCATTCCAGTGCACAACTGCTGATCCAGTTCGGGACCCACACCAGGCCATTTGGGTCTTAGTTAATTCCAGATGTAGTCAAGCTGACAACCAAGAACAGCCGTCACAATCACCACCAGCTTACTTAACACACTGTAATTTCGCAGGTTATTTTCTAGTTTCTTTAAAATTTGAGATGTATTATTTTGTGTTTAGTAACGTTTTGCCTGAAAGTATGTATGTGTACCACATGCATGGATGGGCACATGGAGGTCACAGGAGAGTGTTGAATTGTATGGATGAGCCTGAAAAACAGTGTTGTAAGTAAAATAAGCCAGACATAAAAAGAAAAATACTACATCTTTTCATCTGTAAAGCTAAATTCATAGAAGTTGAGAGTAAAACAGTGTTTACCAGAGGCTGAGGAACAAATAGATAGGACATGGTTGGTCAAGATAGACAGAGGTTGGTCAATGGTACAATGTTACATAGAGAGAAATGAACCCTGGTATGCATGCTTGCACAGTACAGGGACTGTAGGTAACAATAATGCATTGTGTCTTTTAAATAGCCAAAAGAGAAGACTTCAGCTCACTTTGCTAAATGTTTGAGGAGGTAGCTATACTAACTATCTATGAGGGCCATGGTGGTGCAGATCTCAGCACTTGGGAGGCAGAGGAAAGCAGAGCTCTGTGAGTTTAAGGCCAGCCAATGGTATATGGTAAGACTCCATCTCAAAAAAAAAAAAAAAAAGCATAACATTTGAGGATTTCTCCAGACACCAATACTTGCTAGGAATATATAGTAATTACAAGGTAGTAAGAGATACATATATCAGCGGAACACAAAATCCAGTGAAACGGATCTGACCACAAATGAGGATTTCACATATGATGCATCATCTTTTTAAGTTAGTTGTGGCACTAATGGACTGTTTTTTGTGAATGGTGCTGAGATTTGGGTGTGTATATATAGTACCAGGAGCCACACAGGAAACAGTTAAAATATTTGGTCATTAAATGTCGAACGTGCTGTAAAATTAAGATGATAGTGAGAGAATGAGAGAATATATGTGCATCCTATATTACAGTAAAATAACTATTAGACAGAGATGTGCAAGCACTACAATCAATGAGGAGATGTAGGTGAACAGAGAAAGATATGGGTACCATTTTCAGATAGGAAGGGTCAATGATCAGTTAGCATATGAAGTGATGGTCAGGACAAAAGATAATAAATGTGACTTGAGCTGGCTGTGGTAACAAATGCCTGTAATTCCAGATCAGGAAGTGGAGAACAAAGAGTCATAAATTTGAGGCTAGCTTGACCTACATAGTAAGAGCCTCTCTCAAAAAGCAGGAAACAGAGTGAGGCATAGTGGTACAACCTGCGATTACAACATTTGGAGAGTTGAGGCAGGAGGATTGATATGAGTTCGTGGCCAGCCTGGCCTACAGAGAGAGATCCTGTTTCAAAAGGAATAATGAAAACAAATAAGGGGAAATGATTTACTTGTACTTATAGGAAATAAACAGTAAATAATGGAATTAGTCTAAATGTCCTCTCAGCATACTTGTAAAAATCTATCATAAGTCACTTAATCTCTCCCCTATTGGTACTTTTGAAATGATTTATTTTTATTTTTATGAGAATTAATGGTTTTGCCTGCATATATGTCTGTGTGAGGGTGTCAGATCTCCTGGAAATGGATTCACATACAGTTGTGAGCTGCCATGTGGGTGCTGGGAATTGAATCCTGGTCCTCTGGAAGAGCAGCCAGTGCCTTTTTTTTCTTGTTTTTCAAGACAGGGTTTCTTTGTGTAACCACCCTGGCTGTCCCGGAACTCTCTTTGTAGACCAGGCTAATCTCAAACTCACAGAAATCTGCCTGCTTCTGCCTCCCAAGTGCTGGGATTAAAGGCGTGCGACACCGTGCCCAGCACAGCCAGTGCTCTTTTAATTATTGAGCCATCTCTCTAGCCCATGACACTTTTGAACTGTGTGTGTGTGTGTGTGTGTATGGGGGCATGCCATGTGTGTGCCCATGTCTTCAGAGGCCAGAAGAGGGAAATGAGTCTTCTGGAGTTGTGAGCCACATGATATGGGTGTTGGAAACCAAACTGAGTTTGGTCCTCTGAGAGAGAAGTAAGTGCTCTTAACTGCTGAGCCATCTCTCTAGCCTGTTACAGCATTTTTTATTCCTTTAATAATAGTACTGCAAGAAATATCATAGTTGGGTGTGGCAACTACACACACACACACACACACACACACACACACACACACACACACACACACACGTCATTCTGTAAGGGTATGTATAACTAAATGCCAGAGAATAGAATTAACACAGGAAAGAATTGTAGGCTGTTAAATTTATTGTTTAATAGATTTTGCCAAATTGCCCTCCATAAAAAGATTGAATTGGAATATCCACCTCCAACAGAGTATAGGAATCTCCATATTCACACAACATAGTCAATAATATTATTGAGTTTTTAAACTTTGACGTCATAGCTGAAACGTAGTAAGTCACAGTTGTTTTGATTTGCATGTTTTTAAAATCGAGCATCTTTATGTTTATTGGACATTTTGGATCTTCTGTATTTCTCCTCAGTGAACAAATCTGTTTAAGTCTTTGGCACTTTTTTTTTCTATTTGAGTTATTTTATTAATGATTTGTAAGGATATTTAAGTTATAATTAGTCTTTTGGCATACAATGCTTCTGCTTCTTTTTGAAAATGAACACAGATTTAAATTTTTATGTTAGTCGATTGATGAATTCTTTTCTTTGGTAGAGAAAGTAAATTTTGAATTCTGAAAATCCATTAGTAATGTTTTAAGGCATTATGAGCTCCCTGGCTCACCTCCTGAAAGGGCCTCCTCCGAGCAGGGGCCCCTCATCAGGGAGGGCCTGGGGCTGGGGTGTCATATTTCAACATTCTAAGAAAGAGGCTGCCTGGATGGTTATATTTGGAGTATGATTTCCCCAGTGGAAACAGGTGGGCGCCTAGGGACTCTCCTGCATATTTTGTTCCTGAGCGCTGGGTTTTGTAAGGGCGGTGCACTGAAGTTATTTAGGAAGGCAGGAATCCTGGACTTTGTTCTCCCATTTGTGAGGGAAAACAGTCATGGCCATGGTGTTCTAACAATATACAGTCATCCACAGACCTCCATGCCCATTGCCGCTGGAAATTGCTGAACAATAGCCACCAACACGGTGGCAGACAGAACAGAAATGGCAGTGCCATGATAGGATGAAAATTCCACCTGTTAAGCCTCCTTTCTATCTATGTGGTAGCACTTGCTCCTTTTGTGGGTGTGGTGAAACTGATGTAAATTTTTTTTAAAAGCCCATTATAGGATACAAAACAGGTTCACCTTTGAAGTCACTCACTAGTTTGTAAGGCACCGGGTTCATCTGGGTTTGGTCTTTGTTAAAGTATCCAGGGTCCTCTGTGCAAGAAGTACTCAGACACCTGATAGGCAAAGGTAAATACAACTGAAACCTCAAAAGCTTTCCATTATTTCTGTGAAACTATCAAGTTTTGAAATCCGAACGTCTTTCCAAAGATGAATTTGCCGATTGCATTGAAAAACGGGCTGGCTTTGTTTAGGAAAAAATTGTATTTAAAATGTCAGTAATTGCATCTGTTTTCAAAGCTCAGAAGTAGTTTATAGCAACTAGAAAACATTTTTTTAAAGTGTCATAAAATTGTGTAAACGGATGAGTCTTTAAATTTTTTACAACCTGAATTTTTCATGGCGAATGAAAATGTCTTTACTGCAGTTTCCCATCGCGGGGGGGGGGGGAGGGAGGAAGGATGTTGATAGAAAAAGGAATACAGACAAAGAAAGAGAAGGCTCTGGTTGCACGGTTTTCCTCTTTCTCTAGGCGATTTGGTGGGGGGTTGTTACTAAGGGAAGGCAGGTTGTATAGAGAGCCGGTGGGGGAGCATTGGTATTGTATCCTGAGAGGAAAAGAAAGGCTTCCTCAAAGATGCAGAAAAGGCTCCAGCCAAGGCCTGGGAGTGGGTGGGGGTACAGACCCTTCCTAGTAACCAGGGACCGGTAAACTCCAACCGCTACATGGTGATGACACTTGTGGGCGCTCAGATTGGAGAGCGCGGAGATGAGTGACAGGGCGGGGCGCGCTGGGGCTCCGCGCAAAGATGCGAGGAGGGGGGCGCCTGTGCAGGCTGAAGGGGGTCCTGTTGACTGCCTTCCGACCAGTGGGGGGTTGTGAGGGGGAGGGAGAGCGATGACGCGCGGCCCTCACGTGACCTGGAGCTGCAGAGCGACGCAGCCTTGGGTGCAGTCGTCACTCGCGTCTGGTCTCCAGCTCCCCGCTGCCCCGCGCGCGGCGGGCTGGCATCGGGCCCGGAGTGAGCTGATCAGGTAAGGGCCCCGGAGCGGCCGCGCCACGGCCCTGCTAGCCGCAGTCTCCGGATTCGGCGGGGCTACGGAGGTAGATTGAGGAGGTGGGGTGTCCATGCTGGATCAAGTTCAAGGAGCCCTTCCCCTCCTATTCTCCCGCGTCCCCCAGCCCCTAGCTGAATCTGCGCAAGGGAACCCTGTGCTTTGACAGGGCCGCTGGTGGGGAGAGTCTCTAGAGGGAAATGCAGAGGGAGATGCCCATCCTCTCTAATTAACTCCATCAATGGGCGCCCGCACATGTCCGCGGGCTTCCTGCTCCTTTCAGAGGAGGGACGCGCGCCACCGTGGCATTTGCTGAGAAAATGGTGGGCCTTAGTGCCTGGACGGCGGGCTCGGTAGGGGTGGTGTCTCAGAACGAGGGGAGGGACCTTTGACAACCGGATTCCAAAAAGGAGAGTGTTGGGATGTGTGGCGTTGGTGCTGGCCTGAGCACTCAGTGCCTTTACTCTCTCCTTTTGGACAATAGTTCGATGTGTCTGTGGTGAGGCGAGGGAAAAACGGAGACGGAGACAAGAGAACCGCACAGGCTCCATGGAGGTTAGTGTGAGCACCAACACTGAACCGTTGAAGTTCTGTATGGATTCTATGCAGCCACGTAGACACTGTTATATTTGTGTGTGTGTGTATTTGAATATATTGTATTTATATGTGATTAGGATGTGGGGTGGGGCTAGCCTGGGAACTTTACCTAAGCTTTGTTTCCTTATCAGGCGTCGGACTTTTCCTTAAATTCTATGGTGAATACCAATATATTACAGATTATTTTGATTTATGTCAGGTGATATTGAAAAATACAATTTCTTGTGTAAAAGAACGGTACTATTGTTTGTTAGAGGCTTTGGGGGATGGGATAATGATTTTGCAGAAGCAAAAGCCCTCCTCCACACCTTGTATCTTGTGCTGAGACTCCTAGAAATGGCTTTCAGGGAAGCAGATGGCAGGCTGTGATTGAAGAATCATGGGATGTGGGGCCTCCATCTCTTCCGCCATCCTCCAATTTTCAGATAGTCATGTCTACCTGACCATCTTGATAAAGGAAATGGTGGACTTTTGAGGAAAGATCTAGAATCCTACAGGTGGTTTAAAAAATAAATTTTCTCCTTTCCCCCCCTTTTCTTTTTTCTCTCCCCTTCTCTGTGTTTCATTTCAGTGTAGATGAAGCCCTAGGTTATGCCTGAGTCTCTAAATCCCGAAAGGCAGGGTCGGGGACACAGATGTTTCATGCTAGGCTATCAAAAGCACTCAGCACTCACCCTCTCTCTTTTCTTTGTCTGTTCCCAGGGCTTTTCATGTTTGAAGTAGGGCTTTTTAGTCCTGGAAGCAAGGGAAAGAGGGGGAGACTGTTTTGGAACTATGGAGGTTGATACGAAGGTGGGTAGTGGCTGGGGATGACAAAAGAGGGTGGGCTGAGCTTGAAAGGGCTTCAGTGAATGGCACTTCTGCCTTGTCTCCACATGGCTGCTTTCCACAATGCTGCAATACAACCTGTTAATTTCAGTGCAGGAAACGGTGGGAATATTTGAGGGAGGGCGGACTGGGCTGTGACAAAGAAGGCTAGAGATGGAATCACAAGATAAGATACATTGTTAAAATGGACCAGGACCCGGATGCAGGCATTGCAACCGAGAATTAGGGTGCTTATCTGTTCTAATAAGGACACAGTCTCCATTATCTCCTGTTTATCTACTTGCCTATAGCTCCTCCTGCATGTCTGCTTCAGAGTCTGAGATCACTGGAAGCGAGGAAGCAAAGAAGAAATTATCTCTGATCCCTATAACTGGTAAGACGGTGGGGGCTGTCTAGGCATGCCTCGAATGTGGGTTAGTGGAGACCAGTGTGCATTCCACAAGGGACAGTCTGGAGGAGGTTTTTATTCTTTTTTCACAGCTATCCTTCTCACCATTCCTGGTATTTCCCCTAAACCTTTACCTTAATTCCGGTCCATGGAAAAGAGTCTGACAGCAGCTAAGGACATTGGGTAACCAGAGGGAGTAAATTGCTGATAAAATGACTGCTCCATCAAGAACCCACTCCTCTTTGTCTGCCTTTCTCTAGGTCTAAAGGTCTCCTGCCTGTATGTACATTAGGGTGTTTCACTGAGCAAAAGAAGGATAGAAGAGGAGACTTCATTCATTTATCCCAGGTTTGTGTCAGTGGGGACCTGTAATAATGGCAACCAGAGAAGGTCCCTTAAAAAATCTAGTTCTGGGAGTTTCTGTTCCTCATCCATCCATCATCAGCCCTCCTGCCATCCTTGACACAATTCATTTTGCATACAAAAATGGCTGGAAATTGGGGAGGGTAGGAAGAAATGATGAAAAGTTTGTTGATCTTTCTCTTCTCCCAACAAGTACATCATTTCTACCCTTTCCTATTCCTGGTTGTATCTCTCTGTATAATGCCATAGAGTTAGAAGAGATGGTTACATTCGTTTCCTTCTTCCACTTCTAGGTCTCCTTTGAGTGGCAGCTCTCCTGGCCTGTAAGTGGTTAAACACCATTGCTCAGACACACCATCTTCCTTCGTAGCCTGAGTGAGCCCAGTACATTGTTCCTGCCTTCAGCAGGGGTGATTACATGGGCCGAGTTCAGGATGTGGGCTGGGCAACTGCAGGACTGGTGATCTGGGCTGGCACTTGCTACTGCATTTACAGATTAACCAAGGGAAGATCTCAGAGTGGGAGCAGATTTGCCAGAAATGGGTCCAGGATCGAGACGGAGACTGAGGTTGGGGTACAGAACCAGACCGTGGCCACAGGTGAAGCCATGGCTGGAGCAGAGACTAGAGTCAAGACTGAACCAGAAACTGGAGAAGGAGGTGAGCCTGTGGCCGAAGCAGATCCCAAGGTCCCTGTTCTAGCTAGAGCCAGTATCAACTGTCAGACCGAGACAATGCTTGAGGAGGAGGTAGAGACTCATTCTGAGACCAGTTCATTGGTGGAAACTGTGGTCATGACAGACGCAGTGACTTTTACTGAAGCCACAGCCACAGCCAAAGCCAAAGAAGTAACCATGAAAGAGGCAGTCACACAAACTGAAGTTGAGACTGAGGAAGTAGGCAAGAAAGAGGCAGTGACGCAGACCAAAGCTAAAGCTTGGGAAATGGCTGGCAGGGCAGAGGTCAAGAAAGAAGCAATGACCCAGACCAAAGCAGAAGCTCCTCCATTGGCTGAAAAAGAGACAGAGATTAACAGAGTAACAGTGACTCAGAGTGAGGTCTTGGCAGTGACCAAGGAAGTAGTCAAGATTGGAACCATGAATGAGACTGGAATTGTGGCAGAAGCCACGATAAGAACACTGGAAGAGACTGTGAGTGTGACTAGAACTCAATCTGAGACTAGGCTTGGTGTCACAGTTGATACTAATGAAAATCCCATTGATATGCCCCTTGTAGTGGCTGGAGTGGACGTGGAGTCCTATGCACAGTCTCAGGTTGTGGACATAATTCAAAATGATGACATGATCGGTGATGAGGTTGACGACAAGGGGAATCTCAAAAGCACATCTGAGGCAGGGTCTGGGGTAGATACAAAGGCTTCTGATCAGCCTCCTATTGTTGCCAACATTCCGGCTGAAGCCATGCCAGGGGCAAGGGATGATGCTTGTGATAATACAAATGACATTTGTGAAGCAGAGGCAGATATGACAACTTGTATAATACAACCCGAGACTGTGGCCACGATACAGGCTGAGACAACGTCTGGTGCCACCACGACTGATGACAGGGAAGATGCCAATGGTGAATTTAAGGCAGTGACTGGTGCTGACATAACTGATACCGATCCTCAAGCTGTAACCAGTGACCAGACTGAAGCCATGCCTGATGCCAAGGTTAAGGGTAAAGGTAATGACACTGCCATGGCTAACGCAGGGACCAAGGCAAACACAGAAACCAGTTTGCAGACTGATGCCTTGCCTGATACCGAAGATAAAAACATAAGTGATCCCAACGATGTGGCTAAGGCAGAGGCTAGCAGAGATGTGGTTTTCTGTACCCAGACTGAGCCTGTGGCCAATGTCCAGGGTGATGACTTGCCTGACGGCAAAATCAAGGCTAAGGACAATGCCAATACCACATCTAAGGAAGGGGTTCAGGCTACGGCCCAGAGCCAAGGTGAAGCCTTACCTAACACTAAAGGTAAGGCTAGAGGCAAAGCCAAAGCCAAGTGTAAGGCAGGAGCTGCGACAGATGTGAAAACGTGTGCACAGCCTCAAGCTGGGACGAAAACCCAAGCTGAAGCCTTGTCTGATTCCAAGGTTGATAGCAAAAGTGACTCCAATGCTGCTTCTAAAGCAGGGGCAAAGGCAGACAGTTGCCAGAACGAGGCCCTGCCTGGAACTAAGAATAAGGTCAAGGGCAACTCAAATCCTGTGCCTAAGGCAGAGGCTGGGACAGCTGCAGTGGGCTCTGCCCAGACCAATGTTGTGACCGGTTCCCAGGGTGAGAGTGCATCCGGTGCCAAGAATAAGGTCAAGGGTAATCGCAATTCTGTGCCTAAAGCAGGGGCTGGACCAGACCCTACGGATTCTGCCCAGTCCCAGACTGTAGCCACTTCCCACAGTGAGAACTTACCCGGTGCCAAGAATAAGGTTAAGAGCAATCCCAATGTTGTGCCTAAGGCAGAGGCTGGGGTGGGTGCCTGTCCCCAGTCTGCGGCCATTTCCCAGGGTGTTGCCTTGACTGGTACCAAGACTAAGGCCAAGGGCAATTCTAGTGCTGGGTCTAAACCGGATGCTGGGGCAGGTACAATGGGCTCTGTCAAGGCTGTGGTCAGTTCCCAGGGCGAGGCCGGACCTGGTTCCAAGAGTAAGGTTAAAGGTAATCCCAATGCTGTGCCTAAGGCAGAGGCTGGGGCAAGTACAATACTGGCTTTGGCTTCTTCCCAGGCGGAGGCCTTGCTTGGTGCCAGAAATAAGGTCAGGGGCAATTCCAACACTGTGCCTAAGGCAGAGGCTGGGTCAGGTGCAAGGGGCTCTGTCCAGTCCCAGGCTGTGGTCAGTTCCCAGAACGAGACTTTGCTTGGTGCCAGGAATAAGGTCAGATCCAATGCTAGTACTAAAGCAGGAGCCAAAACAGGTACAAGGAGCTCTGCTCAGCCCCAGGCTGTGGTCAGTTCCCAGAACGAAGCCTTGCTTGGGGCAAGGGATAAAGGTCTGTCCGGTTCACAGGTAGGAGCCACTGTAGACAATAAGATGTATGCAAGGCCCGTGGCAGGTGCTGTGCCCACTTCTGAAACTGCGAGTGGGGTAGGTGCTCAGCCTAACATGCACGATTATTACTGGAATGGAATTGGTGTTGAGGACTGGATTGCTGCTGAGCGGTGGATCAAATTTAGGTTTCAGACCATGGATGGAGACTGGGAGAATACTGTATCCTGGACTGATGATGAGAATGCAGCCAGTGTCGGGCCCTGGAGTGGGGCTAATGAGAAGACTGGCATTGTTAGTTCCTGGGCTGTGGCTTGTGATGAAAACAGCATTAAGTCCTGGACTGGGGCTAGGACTGAGAATGAGGTTGCTCTTGGGTCCTGGGTAGGTGCTGGTGACCAGGCCAGTGGGGCACTCTGGGCAGGAGCTCAGGCTACTGACGCCACTGGAGGCTCCTGGACTGGGGCTGAGAACCAGATCAGTGCAGGTTCTTGGGTTGTCTCTGGAAACCAGGCCATTGCAGGGCCCTGGGCTGTGAGTCAGGTCAGTGACGGGTCATGGCCTGCAGTCCAGGCCAGTGGAGTGTCCTGGGTAGTGGACCAGGCTACTGGGACCTGGACTGTGGCCGACAATCAGGCTGGTGCAGTGTCTTGGACTGGAGCTGGCAATATAGTTAGCATTGGATACTGGACTGGGGCTGTAGACCAGACCAATGCTGTGTCCTGGACAGGGACTGGTGATCAGGCTGGTGGTGAGGTCAAGCCAAGGTTTGAAGATCAGGCCGGTGAAAAGGGGACCTGGGCTGGAGCCGGTGTCCAGACCAGTGGAGAGTCCAGGTTGGGACCTGAGGATCAGGCCAATGGAAGGTCTTGGACTGAGACCGCAGACCAAGCTAGTGCGGCATCCAGGCTTGGGACTGTAGATCCATCTGGTGGTGCATCCTGGGCTGGCACTGGGGACCAGGCTGGTGCAGTATCTACAGCAGGGTCTGCAGACCAGTCTGTTGGTGGATCCAAACCTGGTTTTGAGAATCAGACCAGTGGTGAAGGGTCTTGGACTGGGACTGTTGGCCAGGCTAGTGGAGGGTCCAAGTCGGTGCCTGAGGATCAGTCTGCTGGAAGATCTTGGGCAGATTCTGGAAACCAACTCAGTGGAGGGTTCTTGGTTGGGCCTTTGGACCAGGCCAATGGAGAGTCTCAGCCTGGGTCTGGAGAACTGGCTGCTGGTGGAGTAGATCAGTCCAGTGCAGGAGGATGCTGGGCTGGTTCTGGGGACCAGTCTGGTGGAGAATCTAGGATGGGGCCCAGGGACCAGTCTAATGGAGAGTCTTGGCCTGGCACTGGAGATCAGACCAGTGGATGGTATTGTACTTACACTGGGAATCAGACCATTGGAGGAGGCTCTTGGGCTGGGGCTAGTGGTCAGGACGTTGGAGGGTCGAAGCCAGTGCAGGTGAACCAGACTACTAGTGGATCCTGGCTTGTCACTGGAACTCAGATCAGTGGTGTGTCCTGGACTGGTGATCAGGTTGGTGGCTGTTCCAAACCTGGATTTGAGGATCAGGCCGTTGGAGGAGGATTCTGGGCTGGTGCTGGGGACCAGGCCACTGGAGGGTCCAGGCCAGCTGTGTCTGAGGATCAGTCTAGTGGAGGAGTTTCCTGGGGTGGAGCTGGGAGTCAGGCCAGTGGAGGGTCCTGGGTTGGGCCTGTGGATCAGACTAGTGGCTCTTCTAAATCTGGATTTGAAGATCAGGCAGGTGGAGAATCCTGGCCTGGGTCTAGGTCTAGTAATGAAGCCAGTGGAGGATCTAGGCTAGATACACAAGACCAGGCCAGTGGAAGATTCCTTGTAAGTGCTGAGGTGGAGGCCAATGAAGGATTTTGGTTTGGGCCAGGGAGTGAGGCCTTTATAGGGTCTTGGTGCTGGACAGAAGAAGCTACTATTTTGCCTATAGCTGATCTTAAAGATGAGGCCAGTGTTGAATCCACGTCAGGTACTAAGGAAGAAGCCACCACTAGTTCTGGATTGGGGGATGAGAAGAAGACCAGTACTGAGGAGACAGCTTTAACGGGCACCTGTGTTGGAGGTGAGGCTGAGACTGTGGCTGGAGCCGAGGCTGAAGTTGAGACAGAGGCTAAGGCTGGAGCTGAGGCTGAGGCTGGAGCTGGGCCTGAGGCTGGAGCAGAGACAGAGGTTGAGGCCAAGGCGAGAGCAGAGACAGAGATTGAGGCCAAGGCAGGAGCAGAGACAGAGGTTGAGGCCAAGGCCGAGGCCGAGGCCAAGGCCGAGGCCGAGGCAGGAGCAGAGACAGAGGTTGAGGCCGAGACGGGAGCGGAGACAGAGGTTGAGGCCAAGGCGAGAGCAGAGACAGAGGTTGAGGTTGAGGCTGAGGCGGGAGCAGAGACAGAGGTTGAGGTTGAGGCTGAGGCGGGAGCAGAGACAGAGGTTGAGGTTGAGGCCGAGGCGGGAGCAGAGACAGAGGTTGAGGTTGAGGCCGAGGCGGGAGCAGAGACAGAGGTTGAGGTTGAGGCCGAGGCGGGAGCAGAGACAGAGGTTGAGGTTGAGGCCGAGGCTGGAGCAGAGACAGAGGTTGAGGTTGAGGCCGAGGCGGAAGCAGAGACAGAGGTTGAGGTTGAGGCCGAGGCAGGAGCAGAGACTAGGGCAGAGGCTGGGGCAGCAGCTGCAGCTGCAGCTGATTCTGAGACTGGAACTGAGGCTGGTCCTAGAGTTGAGGCAGTGGTTGGGGCTGAAGCTGGAATGGAAATTTGGTCCTGGGAGGGAGATGCAACCTCTAAAGGGTCTAGGCTTGGGGCTGAGGCTGAGGCTGGAGTTGGGGGAGGGGCTGAGGCTGAAGCTGAGACTGAGACCAGCATGGGATTTTGGTTCTGGGATGGAGATGCAGCTACTAAAGGATCTAAGCTAGGCGCTGAGGCTGAGGCTGAGGCTGAGGCTGAGGCTGAGGCTGAGGCTGAGGCTGAGGCTGGAATTGGGACAGGAGCAGGGGCAGAGGCAGAGACTGAAGCTGTGGCTGAGACCAGCATGGGATTTTGGTTTTGGGACGGAGATGCAGCCGCTAAAGAGTCTAGGCTTGGGGCTGAGGCTGAGGCTGGAGCTGGAGCAGGGGCAGAGGCTGTGGCTGAAGCTGTGGCAGAGACCAGCATGGAAATTTGGCCCTGGGATGGAGATGCAGCCACTAAAGGGTCTAGGCATGAGGCTGAGGCAGAGGCTGGGGCTGGAGTTGTGGCTGAGGCCGGGGCTGGAGTTGTGGCTGAGGCCGGGGCTGGAGTTGTAGCCGAGGTTGGGGCTGAGACCAGAATGGGGTTTTGGTTTTGGAATGAAGACTCAACCACTAAAGGGGCTAGGCTTGGGGCTGAGGCCGGGGTTGGAGTTGTTGCAGAGGGTGGGGCTGAAGCCAGAATGGAGTTTTGGTCCTGGGAGGGAGATGCAGCCTCTAAAGGGTCTAGGCTTGGGGCTGAGGCTGAGGCCGGCTTAGGGTCTTGGACTTTTGCTGCAGATATAAATGATGATGATGATGAGGAGGAGGAGGAGCTAAGTAGAGAATCCAGCCCTGGTATTGAAGAGATCAGTCTAAGAAACTTGTTTGGGGCTGACAGTGAGGACAATAATGACCTCAGATCTACAAATGAAAAAGATGCCAACTCTGAATCTGGGACTGGGGATAAGGTCAGCACTAAAGATAAGTTTGATGCTGCTGATGGAGTTGACATCCGATCTTGGTTCTGTACTGGTAATGAAAACAGATGTGAGGATGAATCTACATCTCAGGTGAAAGCCAAAAAGACAACTGAACCAAGAGGCATATATCCATCCATGGTCCCTGGAGCAGGAATGGGTGTATGGGATGGGACCATCATTTGTTCTGAAAGCAAGCTACTGAAGCAAAGCAGCTTTCCAGGCGAAGAAGGTTTCAGAAAGCAAGTCAATACTGGAGACAAGGTGCATTCCTGCAACTGCCGCTGCAGACGGGATGTTAACCTGGATCCACAAGATCTTGAGAAACTCATTTGCATGATTGAAATGACTGAAGATGCTTCTGTTCACGAGATAGCCACGAATGCTCTATATAACAGTTCTGATTATCCCTTTCCGCAGGAAATTGACCGGAATATAGGTGGAATTTCAGTTATCCAAAGCTTATTGGGTAATCCCTACCCTACTGTCCGCCAGAAGGCTTTAAATGCATTGAATAACCTCTCAGTTGCTGCTGAAAACCATAGAAAGGTTAAGACATACTTAAGTCAGGTATGTGAAGATACTGTCACCTGTCCCTTAAACTCAAATGTGCAAGTGGCTGGACTAAGACTGATAAAACACCTGACTATCACTAGTGAATATCAGCACATGGTTACCAATTACATTTCAGAATTTCTCCGTTTGTTGGCTATGGGAAGTGGAGAAACTAAAGACCATGTTTTGGGAATGCTTGTGAATTTCTCTAAAAATCCATCCATGACAAAAGACTTGCTCATTGCCAATGCACCAACAGCACTGATTAACATCTTTAGCAAGAAGGAGACAAAAGAGAACATCCTTAATGCGCTTTTACTTTTTGAAAATATAAATCGTCATTTTAAAAAAAGAGCAAAAACATATCCCCAAGACAGGTTCAGTAAAAGTTCCCTTTATTTTCTGTTTCAACGACCTAAAGCCTGTGCCAAGAAACTTAGAGCCTTAGCAGCAGATTGTAGTGATCCAGAGGTGAAAGAAAAAGTTGAGGTATTAATAAATAAACTCTGATTGGCTCTCTGTTCCCCCCAGAGTTTGAGTAACATTTTGGTTTTACATCCTGGACATGCTGTACATTGTAAATTGCATTAGAATTTTGAAACTAATGTTGCCTATAAGGACCTATAGCTGGACAATTTTATGAACACCAAACGAATTCAAGCTTGTTCTGGAAATACATGTGTCAATTTTTATCTTGTCTGGATTGAGATATTTTTAGTATGCTTCATGAGCAGAAACCAAACTGATTCTTCATAAGTAAGGTAATCTTTGGTCCTTTGTGTGGACTTATGTTTATACATTTGAGACTTTATTTTTATGTCATCAATAAAGTTGTGTGTTTTAAGAAGCAAAAACGAGATATTGTCTTCATCCTTGGGTTTATGATCTGTTTAGAAATAAAATCAGGAGTCTTCCGGTCACAGACAGCTGCTTCCTGTCAGTGCTTAGAGGAAGCAGAAAATGCTGCCCAATTTATCAGTGCCCAGGGAATGCTTCATGGAAAAGGGAGTCTTTTTAAGTGAGCTGTGCTTGAATAAGATACAAAAGGTCAAAAAGGCCATTCGAAGACGGAGAATTGATGGAAGAAAGGCAAGGAAGTGGGAAATCCAGTTCTGGAGAACCTGGGTAGAATGACTCAGGAGGGCCATGAGAGGGGATAAAAAGGACCGAGGAAGTCAGCATGATTTCTGTCTATGGAGCACTTCCGACTGCCAGAGTGTCTGAATATTGTATGTATCCCTAGAAACAGCAAGGACTTCCACGACTAGAGGATGAAAGGAAAAGAATGGGATTGATTTGTGTCAGGATGAGTTCAAGTTGGAGCGAGGATAGGAATGGTGACCAGAGGTAGGAAAACAAGCTAGGAAGCTACCATCGTAGCAGAGGCACGAGATGACAGACATCTGAAATGTCATCAGCTCCTGTGGGGATCCTAAGGACAGGACTGAAGTGAGAATGCTCTCCTTTGTGACTTACTATGTAGTCAAGTCTGGCCTTGAACTCCTAGCAATCCCCTAGCCTCAGTTTTCCAAGCGTTGGCAGTATAGGCCGGAGTCACTTACTGTGCCTGGGGTCTTTTGTGGTGAGTAAGTGCTCCAGCTTATTCTGAGGACGTATAAAGAGGATCAGTTTTCTTTTAGGGTTGTGGAGTCCACGGGAACATGTCCTTTCATAGCCAACTCTGGTGTCTATATAAGTGCATAAGAAAATTGTTTTGAATTAATGAGAAAATACAGTTGAAAGAAAAATAAATTTTAGTACTTGCATCAGGATTTTTTTTTAGTAAGATTGATTGGAGTGGGTTTTCACAGTACCATCAAGAGTGATGTTGGGATCCACAGGGGAGAAGTTCCATTTTTCTTCCACCACACAGTATTGACAAGGGTACCTGTATATGTGTGTGTGAGCATTCAGACTGTGAGGCTGGCAGCCTGTCAGGTATGTTCCTGAGCATTTCAGTCCCTGTCTACTCACTTTGTTTCCTTGTATTCAAAAAGAAACTAGGAAAAGGAAATTAGTAGGGGAAAATAGTTTTTTTTTAAAGTTTTGCCTAGTTTGAGGGTAAAGGATGTATGTGGGATTTTTTTTTTTTTTTTTTTGGTTTTTCGAGACAGGGTTTCTCTGTGTAGCTTTGCGCCTTTCCTGGAGCTCACTTGGTAGCCCAGGCTGGCCTCGAACTCACAGAGATCCGCCTGCCTCTGCCTCCCAAGTGCTGGGATTAAAGGCGTGCGCCACCACCGCCCGGCATATGTGGGATTTTTAAAGTTTATAGAAAACTGCAATACCTTTAAGCCCAGAAACACACACATACACACACACACACACACACACGTTTAATTGATCCTTTCCTAAGATGACTGGGTCTGAGTTTGCCTCTGTTGTCACTGTTCTTAGCAAGTAGCGCAGAAGGCCATACACATCTCTCCTTTAGAATTTGTAATATGTCTATCCTATCAGAGACCCAGGCCATTCTCTCTTCACTTGAACCTTGGCTTCAGGTACAAGTTCCATTGGCACATTTCAAAGCCTTGAAGATATGCATGTCTTTTCTTCCTTTTCCCCTCTTTTATATTTTGTTTTGTGGCGTGTGTGTGTGTGTGTGTGTGTGTGTGTGTGTGTGTCTGTCTGTCTGTCTGTCTGTCGAGGGAGGGGGCTTGCCATAGCACACATGCAGAGGGCAGAGAACCACTTGTAGGAGTCTGTTCTTTCCCTTCCACCATGTGGCTCTGGGGATCGAACTCAGGTTGTCAGGCTTGGCAGCAAGCGCCTTTACCCATTGAGCCCTCTCACTAGCCCTGTGTATGCCCTTTCACCCAATGATTCTATTTGTAGAAATCTATCTTTAGGAGCAAATAAAATAACCAGCTTGCAGTAAGTTGTGCATCTTCAAGCTGTTTTGAAGGGTGAAAAAATATAAGGTTATTTAAAATAGACATCTGCGTTTACGGCAGAGAATTCAGCATGTAATCCTCAGTAGGAAAACAGATTGTAAAAGCATATATGCTTTCTATGAAGAAAAAAAGGTGCATTTCATGATCCCTAAGAGACTGGGGAGGTTGACTCGGTGATGTGCTTGCAGTCCTGGGGACCTACCTGAGTTTGGCTCTCCAGCATTCACAGAAAAAGCTAAACTGGCCTGGCGGTGGTGGTGCACGCCTTCAATTCCAGCACATCCAGGCAGATCTCTGTGAGTTTGAGGCCAGCCTGGTCTACAGAGGACAGGCACCACCAAAACTACACAGAGATACCCTGTCTTGAGAAATTAAAAACAAAACAAAACAAACAAACAAACAAAAAACCACTAAACTGGCAGAGTTTGCCCGTAATCCCTGTACTGTGGACTCAGGAACAAGATGATCACTGGGACTTGCTGCTCAGCCAGTCTAGACAATCGGTGAGCTCCAGGTTCAGTGAGTGACAGCGTCTGAAAATAACAACAGCAACAGCAACAACAAAACAACCAAAGTGGAGGGCTGGTATATACAGGGCTTAGCCTTAAGAGCACTTGCTGCTCTTGCTGAGAACCTGAGAGCATTTCTCAGTGTCCATGTAGGGCAGCTCACAACCATCTGAAACTCCAGCTTCAAGGGATCTGACACCCTCTTCTGGCACCCATGGGAACCCAAACACCTATAGTGCACATTCAGATATCCATATACACATGAATTTTAAGAAAGTAAATTAATCTTTAAAAAAATAAACCTCTAAAAAGGAGGAGAATCAGTCTACTGGGAAGACACCCAAGTTGACCTCTGGTTTCCTCATGCCCATGCATACCACACATGTGCACACACACATAAACACATGCATGCACAATAAAAATAGCCTCTAAAATGAACTATGTACTATGAGAACATTAATAATTTTATGGGTGTTAGTTAGATTGATGGAGATTTTATCATTTTTTTTTTTTTGGTTTTTCGAGACAGGGTTTCTCTGTATAGCTTTGCGCCTTTCCTGGAACTCACTTGGTAGCCCAGGCTGGCCTCGAACTCACAGAGATCCGCCTGCCTCTGCCTCCCGAGTGCTGGGATTAAAGGCGTGCGCCACCACCGCCCGGCGATTTTATCATTTTTTAAAGATTAAAAAAATATTCTTTTTTTATTTATTTTTTTGAGACAAGGTCTCACTGTGTAGACCTGCTTATCCTGAAACTCACTATGTAGACAAGGCTGGCCTTGAACTCACAGAGATCCACCTATCTCTGCCTCTTGAGTGCTGGTATTAAAGACATTTGCTATCACAGCTTCCTTTATATTTTTATGTATGAGTGTTTACCTGCATGCATGTATGTGTACTATGTGTGTGCCTAGTGCTCGTAGAAGCTAGAAAACAGTGTTGGATCCCCTGGAACTTGAGTTACAGATGGTTGTGAGCCATGATGTAGGTGCTGGGAACCAAACCAAAGTCCTCTGAAAGAGCAGCAAGTATTCTTAACTGATGAACCATCTCATCAGCCCCACTTGTTTTGTAAAACACATCTGTATTTCATGATTTTTATATAATAAATAAACTTTTCTTGTATAGTTTAGCCCAAGATCAAAGAATGCATTTTGGATGGGCAGGACTCCCAGTCACATTTGAAAACCTTAGAGCAAAAAATCTAAATAAAGGTTCACATGTTATATCTAAATATTCGGAAGGTATAACTTAAAGGCTCAAATGAGTATTTAAATAAAACTGTAAGTGTATAAAATTTTTATTCTCTTAAACTATTCTGTAAAATGAAAGTATTATTGATCCATATCCAATGGCACACACTTATTGTCCGAGCTAGTCAGAGGACTGAATTTGAAAGGGTGGACAAAATAGTGAGGCATCATGAAAAGAGATGCAAAACAAAAGAGCTCTCAAGTCTACTGTTTGAGAACCGCCAACATTTCACTGTAAAGAAATGCTATCCCAGGCTAGGGATGGTGGTCCACACCTTTAACCCTAGCACTCAGAAGTAGAAGCAGGAGGGCTTCTGTAAGTTGGAGGCCAGCCTGGTTTACATAGTAAGTGCCAGGACAGCCAGGTCTATGTAGAGAGACCCTGTCTTAAAAACAAAACAAAATAGTATCACATTGTAATGAATTCTACCATCTGCTGCCTGGTCCCCCTACAGGAATAAAGTGCTTATTTCATTTGTTAGGAGTGATGTTAGTGGATAGCTGTCAGCTGTCATCACACTTCCAGAAATGCATCAACTGAAGACAGCCATCTCCCCAAGATCATACCACCTTCTTGGGGGCATTTTGTGTCCAGTGACTGATGGCCATGGCTTGAGACAGTTTATTGGCTCCCTCTGTCCATTCCAGCTCCCCTCTCTTCCCTTCAATGGGTGTTGATCCCATGGAATTCCCTAATAAAGCCCTCCATGCTATACTCTGTCTTTGCTCCCTGGAGAACAAACCTCAGGAATCAACACAAGAAGCTGCTCAAGAAAGCCAACCCTGGGATGACAGATTCTAGGCAGATTTCTTGCCGACAAGTTGTCAGTGTTGGAACTAGTGGAACACTCTTCCATCATGGGTGGAAGATTGCATAGATCCAAATATGGGATGAGGTGGCACAAGGATGGCTGGAGAGACTTTGCTAACGAAAGGGGAAGCATTGTCTGGCACCATATGGCAAAACTTGAAAAATGGGGCTGGAGACAAGGTGCATTGAGAGCACTTGCTGTTCTTTTAGAGGATCCAAATTTGATTTCCAGCACCCACGTGGTAGTGTACAACCACCCGCAAGTCCCATTCCTGGGGATTCAGTGCCCTCTTCTGACCTCTGTGGGCACCAGCGTGTACATGGTGCACATACATACATTCAGACAAAACACTCAACACTCATTAAATAAAATACATAAATCTAAAAAAAA